GCAACGGTCCCCTTGCCTCAGCCTCCCGAGTGCTGGGATTACAGGTGTGCACCACCATGCCCAGCCTACTTTTTTTTCAATACTGGAGATTGAACACAGGGATACTTTACAGTGTCCACATTTTTTAAGTCAATAGGAGTTTAAGGGGTTTTTTTGAGGTAGGATCTCACTATGTAGTTTAGGCTGGCCTTGAACTCGTGGTGATTCTCCTACCTCAGCCTCTGCAGTGCTGTGATTATAGGTGTGCACAACCATGCCTGGCCAATAGGAGTTTTAGATAAAATTCTGCTTACAGTTACTTTATTAAATTTGTATGAATAATCACAAGCTAATTAGTTTTTGCAAAGTAGCTTTTCAAGTTAAATTCATTGGCAAATTTTGTGGAACATTTTATAAAATTGACACAGATCACTATTTCAGATATTTCAATTCTATCAGGTTATTGAGAACAGGATGCTGATGTATGACTCTAAAAATTTAAAGTGCAGGATATTTACCAAGTTAAGTAATTATAGTTTAAACAGTCATTTAATTTCTAAGCTTCCTACCATTCCTATATCCATTAGTAGCTTTGCAAGCTGCTGAGTCAAAGCAAAAGAACTTCTGATTTACCATGTTTACTTTAGGTCACACAACTAGAAATATAAGCTAAAAATCTCATTTCCTGAGTTCCAAATATATTTTGTCATTTTAATAAATATGTCAAATATTTTACTTTTTTTTTCTTTAATGGTGCTGGAACCCTGGGACTTTGCACTGAGCTATATCCTCAGCCCTTTTATTTTATTCTGAGACAGGAACTTACTAAATTGCCCAGGCTGGGCTCAAATTTGCAATCCTCCTGCCTCAACCTCCCAGAGTGCTGGGATTACAGGCATGTACTACCATGCCCAGTGTAAATATTTTACTTTTGACAGACGTTTTCATAATCTAGGCTTGTGAGCTTCATGATGTGCTGGTATTATTTGGCTTTGATTTGTTTCCAAATTGTAGAGATTTGAAATGTTCAGCAAACAGTGTCAACCTCTCTTACTGATCTTGGCTTTAATGATCTTGGCATGAAACTCATAAAGTTAACTATAATGTAGCAAATATGTTTATTATACGTAAAATGCCATCGTAATTAATGAGCCCTTTTATCTATAACCTTTTATAGGTTGTCACTTAAATTGTATTGTGTTAATTGTTCTCACACACTCATTTTTAATATAGGTAGAAGACTTCTTAAATCTTTCTACAGAGCTGTCTGGATTTCATATTTGTGTTGACAAAGGGACTTTTGATGCCATAAGTCTTAATCCTGACAATGCAATTGAGAAGAGGAAGCAATATGTGAAATCTCTCTCTGTGGTGTTGAAAGTAAAAGGCTTTTTTCTAATAACCTCATGTAATTGGACCAAGGAAGAGCTGCTAGAGGAATTCAGTGAAGGTAAATAGCTATGTGGTGTTTCAGTGTGCACGTACCTCAGGTCTCTTGTACTTAAGTAGGTTTCCCCCCTTGGTGTTACAGTGTTTTACTTTCCTATTGGTGGGAATGCCTGCTTTTCTTCTCTGTTAATGACGATGGTAATAACTTTTAACTGTATATACAAAGCACAGAGGAATAACATTGGTTGAGATCCAGAGCCCTTTTTAAAAATTTTCCCAGAAATCCTGACAGTTAAGTCCTAAAATTTATGAGTCTGTAAAAATCAAGTTCTTTATTTAAGCAGTGCAATCGTTTATTTAAGCTATACAATCTATTATTTAGAGGATTAAAAAAGCACATGTATTATGCTTTTGACTTCAGTGCACTGATTTCACTGGCCAATCTGTAATAATGCAAATAGAAGTAATATTTTTAAAAGTCTTATGTGGTGTTATATAGTGAGATTTAAAAAAAGTTTTTCCCCCAGTACTGGGGAGTGAACTCAGGACCTTTGTACTGAGCTATGTCTCTAGTCCTTTTTTATTTTGAGACAAAGTCGCATTAAATTGCTAAGTTGCCCAGGTTGGGCTCAAACCCGCCTTCTGCATCAGCCTCTCAGAGTCCTGGGATTCCAGGTGTAAGAATTTCTATTTTATAGATACTTTTATGTCTAGCTCTAGTGGTCATTTAGTTATTTAGGATTTATCTTCTCGTTTTTAGCGTGCATAGGACAGTTTTTTTTTTAACATTGCGTAGAAATAAAATATAGGGAATGTTAAAAGTTCTACCTAAGTTTCCTAATATTATCTAATTTATGAGGAAATTGTTTCCTTTTCACCATTTTGCTGCCAGCTTAGGCCTTTATAGTGGTGTATGTACTAAGTAGGATCTTGTGAACATTGAAAATCCATAATCTATACACAGAACATTTCAAGTTCTCTGTTTGACTGTGCCTTGCATGTTTTAGGGAGTATTTTTATCTGCAAATGTATTTGTAAAATACACAGACATTTCTGGGAAAGTATTTTGAAAATGTTTAGATATTTGCTTACTTTTTCCTTTGAATTCTTTTCAGATTAGTATGCATGCATGTATGTATGTATTGTACAGGGCAGTAGAAATTTTTAGGATGAAGTCTTAGGTAAATGATATGCTACTAAATATTTGGTTAAATTTTGAACCTCAGTTGTTATAAACTAAAGGGTGATTTACCTTAAGAGAGCAGCTTACTGTGCACTGTTATTTGTAACTATACTATATGGGTTGCATTGTAGATTTTCTTTTTGGTATTAAGGGACTAGTCAAGGAGAACACTTAAGTATGCGCCTTTGTGTGCATTCAGTGGATTTGAAAGATTATAGAATATAAAACTTGAAGTGTTTGAGGCTAGAAATGTGAGCTTGTGGCTTCATTACCATTGCCTCTGGAAAATAAGAGTTATATGTAATTTATTGTGTCATTTTATGCCATTAATTTTATTATCTTCCATGTTAAATTTGTTTCCTTTAGAACTGCTGAGGGCCCCGTATCAATAGTTTTTCCTTCTTCCGAAGCTTGACAGTTTTAATGAATGCTCAGAGCTGTACTGTGTAGAGCAAGTTCCTTTCCTGGTTTTTAAATACAGGTGTTCTCTTTTACTCCTGGAACCAGCAGACAAAAACATATTTGTCTGTCTTTGATAATGAGGAACAGACTTTAGCCTGGTATAGCGTGCTTAAAAATGTGCCTGTGTCTGAGAACTGTTGAGTAAACTCTTTATGTTCAATTTTAGAACTAAACACAGAGTTAAAATAAGTGAAATGTTACAAGAGGAAATGTTAAAGAAATAATTACATACCATCGATGACATGTTTTTTAGGCATGAGGCTCTTAGAAAATGGTGTTTGGAGTTAGATGCAGGACAGTAACAGCACCCTGCCATGCATCACTGTCAAAGCCTTGTTACTCGCTACTCAGAATGGCTGCCACATTTTCTTGGCCTTACTATTCTTTTAAGGTTCTTTGCTTCTTTCCTTATTGGAAGTGTAAATATTCATAAAACTGTTGGGATAAATCATGCATTTTTCCTTGATAGCCCTATTCATACAGCAGAAACATTTTGTGTTGTAATTTGTTCAGGGAGGGTCAATTTGAATCAGTTGTCAGATATTATAGTGTTCTAGTTTAATGTCCAGCGGGCTTAACTTTATTACAAAGAGTGAATTAAAATAGCAGTAACCTATTTTACTACAAAAGTAATGCAGATTCAGTATGAAAAAAGTTAAAATATTTATAACCTCAACATACAAGCATATAGACTAAAATTACTAAATTTATTTTTGTTGTTGTTTTTTTTTTTTTTTTTTTTTTTTTATTTTTTCTCCGGTACCGGGAACCGAACTCACGACCTTGCGCTTGCCAGGCAGGCGCTTTTGCCGCTGAGCTAAATCCCCAGCCCACTAAATTTATTTTTGGAGGGATAAGCTCTTGCTATACACTATGTATCTTACTTTTCCTTATGTTCTCTTGTTGCTGAGACAAAATACCTGAGACCCACAGCTAAAGGGGGAAAAGGTTTATTTAGCTCACGGTTTGTAGAGGTTTCAGTCTATAATCAGCTGGCTCCAAGGGAGGTGGCATGGCATACAGGCATCGTAGAGGAGAAACAGTTCATGGCAGGCAGAAAGTAGCAAAACAGGCAAGAGATAAGACATGCTGCTTTCTGCCCCTTCTAGTGTAGCCAGTCTACCAGGATTAGGGCAGGGCCAAACCAATCAGTGGACTGATTTAGTAATCACCCACTCTTAATCCTAGCACCCTTAATCCTAGCATTACACTGTGAATCATACACCCTAGATTCAACCATCTCTGAAAAAGCTCCACCTATAACTGCATGAGGCTTTGGGGGGCATCTAGACACAAGCCCCATAACACTATGTAACCCAGGCTGGCTTCAAACATGCGGCAATCTTCCTGCCTCAACATTGTGAGTGCTGGGATTACTGGTGTGCACTGTCACACTTGGCTAAAGTCATTCATTAACCATCAATGGAATATAACCACTGGTTAAGATTTTGACTGGGCATGATGGCATCTACCTATAATCTCACCATTCTGGAAGGCTAAGGCAGGAGGCAAGTTTGAGCCCAGCCTCCCCACCTTAGCAATTTAGGGAGACCCTCCGTCAAAATCAAAAGCATAGGTGGGCAAGCCAGATGTGGTGGTGCATGCCTGTAATCCCAGCACTTGGGAGGCTGAGGCAGGAGGATTGCCTCCAGTTTGAGGCCAGCCTGGGCTACATAGTGAACTCAAGACCAGCCTGACTATCAGAAAGACCTTGTCTTAGAAAAAAAAGCATAGGTGGGCATGGTGGCACATGCCAGTAATTCCAGCACTCAGGAAGTTGAGGCAGGAGGATCACTATGAGTTTAAAGCCCCCCTGGGCTATGTAGCGAGAGCTGTCTTTGAAAAAAAACCCAAAAATAAAAAAATAAAAAAGAAAGAAAGAAAAATAAAGAGCATAAAAACTGGCTGAGATATAGCTCAGTGCAAAGGCCTTGGGTTCAATCCCCAGTACTCCCTCCCCCGCAAAAAAAGGTTCTGGTATGTTACATACTGAAATATTATGTAACTTCAGTAGGCTTAGGTTCAGGGACTTAAAGAATTAGTCCTGGAAAATTGACAGTACTGCATTGTGTCTTGAAAATGTTCATTTTAAGCATATGTAAAATCTCTGAAAACAAATATGGGTGTGTGCCCATGTAGCTAAACAGTGGTTTCATTTTCCAGCATTAAAGTATGCATCATGCTATTTCAAATGCCTGTTCTTTGAGAAGTTTTTTGTCTTTCTTTTTTTTTTGGCAATATTAGAGATTCTACCACTGAGCTACCTCTGAGCCCTTTTTAAATTTTTTGTTTGAGACCGGGTCTTTTTTTTTTTTGTTTTTTTTTCTTTTTTTTTTGAGACCGGGTCTTGCTATGCAGTTCAGGCTGGCCTCGAACTCACAACGATTCTCCTGCCTCAGCCTCCCAAGTGCTGGGATTACAGGCGTGGGCCACCACACCCGGCTTTTGTGCCATATCAATTTTATTGACATTTTCAGAGAACCAGCTTTTGGTTTTGTTGATTTTCTCTGATTTCCTATATTCAATTTCACTGATTTCTGCTCCAATTTTTAGTGTTTGTTCTGCTTACTTGGAATTTAATTTTCTTTTCTTCTTCTAGTTACCTAAATGGAAGCTTAGATTATCGATATTAGATCTTTCTTCTTTCCTAGTGACACGCATTGTTATAATTTCCCTCTATTAAATGCTTTCACAGTATCCCATAAATTCTGATGTTGTACTTTCATTTCCATTTAGTTCAAAATATTTTAAATTTCTCTTGAAAATTTTCCTTTGATCCATGTGCGATTTGGAAGTGTGTTGTTTAATCTCAACATATTTGAGGGTTTTCCAGTTATCTTTCTGTTACTGGTTTCTAGCTGAATTCCACT